CTACCTAGAAAGTGGACCAGCGGGTAGAATCAATCTCTCTCTCAGTGTGTCTATCCAGGCAATGAACCAGCAACTGAAGCTCTCTCTCTCCCTCTCTTTCTCTTTTTCTAATTTATCTTTCAAATAAACTATACAGCTCAGTGGCATTAAGTATATCCACTCTGTTATGCAAGCATCATCATCCTCATTCACCCTCCAGAACTTTTTCATGAACAGAAACTGTTATATATATTAAATAATACACATATTAAATAACAGCTTCCTATCATCTCCTCTGTCCTATCTTCTCCCTATGAATTTGATAATTCTAGATAATTCATGTAAGTAAAATCAAAATTTTGCTTTTTAAAAAATTTAACAGAAAAATATTGACTAGGGTAGAAAGAATAATCTCAACTCTTTTATTTGTTGGTACTAAAATGAAAATATGATTCAAAATTCAAGCAAATGTAGAGAAAGAAAGGGAGCCATGTGTGTTAGAAAAATTCCACTACTCAAATCTGGGTGGATAGTTGGTGTCCGGAGAAGAGCATGAACGAGTAACCACAGGACATGAAGTTTAGAGCCAGACTGGAACTCCTAGACCAAATTTGTGGGGAAGGCCTTACAGGAGAACTGCTTCTGTTAGCAAACTGTGGAAACTGTCACATCAGATATGTTACATTAAAAAGTAGTGTTCAAGCAAATTCCAAAGTAGAAAACACATAAATGAATGTATGTGTTTGTATACATACAACATATTAATGTATATAAAAATACTTAATTGACCACTTCATTTTGCTATGGGCAATCCCTCAATTAGAAGAATTTCAAACTATATTTTGTACTTCTATATAGATTTATATACATGAGTTATAGAAATACTATGAAACAATACCTAAGACCGATCTCTGACAGTCTTTCATACATTATTATACAATAAAGTTAAAAATATGTCCTTAAGAAAATATTAAGTTTAAAAACACTTTTTCTGGAGCAAAAATTTAACCTGCTTTATCTAATGTAAACTTAGTGGAAAATATGAGGAAATTATATAGCTCTTGCTATTGAATCTTGCTTAAGTAAGCTCTACTAGATGACTATTTTTAATACCTTCCAAGCTAATTTTTGAAATTTTATTATCTTGAAATATAGCCATACAGTTACCATGGATACCTAAAATTTTTTTAGATACCTAAAAATTATTAAGGCTATCTTACTGGGAGAAGAAGAGGTACCACAGGAGTTACATGTGACTGAGAATAAGTAAATCTATTAACAGTCTTTTAAACCAAGAGCTTTTCTTTTTCAGCTTTGCTACTGATAAAATGTTGGTGAATCATAGCATTTATTTGATGCACTACTGTGCAGATTTTTTTCTTAAACACAAGGCCAATATTTTCAAATTCTTGTCTCCCACTCTAATACAGTAAGCCATAACTTTACTGAATCTGACATAACAAATCTTGCATTTCTAATAATACTTCATACACATTTGCTTGCACAGACACTGGGATAAAGCACTAAACCAGAAACAAAGCTTCAGTCCTAAGACATTACATGCTATATAATATCCTGAAGACCCAGGTGGAACCAAGTTTTCTTCCTAAATCACAACAGAATCAGTTAACAAATAGGAATCAAGTTAGTGTGATAATTCAGAGGAGTTGGGAAAGGATGCATATTCAGTGAGTTGTCAAGCTAACATGTTTTCCAAAAAAAGACAACTCTGTGTAAAGGTGCAGTTTGACTGGGGAGAGAAGGTGATTCACAAACAGCACACACAAACTAAGGTTACCAAAGACAAGAAAAGTTGAACAAAGGATAGTGTTTTAACTTTAAAATAAGAAACTAACACTTAAACAGGATATTTCCCTTAGACTAAGAGACCAGCCTGCTATGCTTTCCTTGATAATCATGCCATCCCAGAGTAAAACCTGAATATCAAGAAAAGGCAGCCCAGGGCTGGCATTGTGGCATATCAGGTTAAAATGCCACTTGTGATGCCACCATCCCATGTGGGCACTGGTTCAAGTTCCAGCTGCTCCACTTCCAGTCCAGCTCCCTGCCAATGGGCCTGGAAAAGCAGTGGAGGATGGTCCACATGTTGGGGACCCTGCATCCATATGGGAGAGCTGGATGAAGCTACGGGTTCCTGGCTTCAGACCAGCACAGCCCTAGCCACTGTGGCCATTGGGGGAATGAATTAGTGAGTGGAAGAGCTCAGTCTTTCCACCTCTCTCTGTGTGAATCTGCCTTGTAAATAAAGAAATAATTCTTTAAAACAAAAAAAAAAAGGAAAGAAAAGTGTAGCGTTTTGTACCTAAATATGGATAGAATAAGAATCCTTAGACTCAAACATATTCTGCAGGTAATTTTACAACTGTAGTAAACATGGAGCAATACAAAAATAGTGATCAAGGTATTATAACCTATATAGAACCCACAATACTTTAAATTCAAAAGCAACTCACTTTTCAACTATTTCTTCAGTAGAGCATATGCCTAAAACCTACCAGGAATTTGCTTTTCTTCATCACTTCAAGTTTACTTTGTTCTAATAACAAAATCATTTAAGAAAAAAAAAAACCTTACTACAAACAGCTTAAAAAGTTTCATAACTATTAAATGCTTTACAAATCCCAGTTCCTGTTATGTAAGTGACAAGAGTTTCATGATCATTACACCAAAAAAATATATTAAAAATATGTTAGCCTTCTTAGAAGACACAGTATGACCTGAGAATTCACTGCACAGAAAATACCTTTAATAAGCAAGTGTAAGATCTCTAAATAATATATCACTCTATCAACATTCCTCATTTCATCTAATTTTTGAAATGTTTCCCTATCAAAAATCACACTTGCATTCAATAAATATTTCATTCTAAAGCAACAAAACACAGGAAGACATATCCAAAAGGCACTCATTTTTAGAAGAGAAACTGTGATCAATTTCCTTTGCTTATCAGCTTACTAAAACTGTGACTCATTTCTTAATTCCAGTATGCCATTTATAACATAGTTAATTACTTCACCTGCTGCCAGTCCATGTGATTGTCATCTGCCAAGCCTGTGACTTCAGTGACTGAGAGAGAACAGCAGTTCAGAACATTCACATACAGTGCGTGTAAGGGATCAGTACTCTTTTACCAGTTCAAATGCCTTTGATAGCACTGACTGCAACTCACGTTCACACAATAAACTTCAAGAACCAGTGTCTGGTACAGCAGATTAAAGCTGCGCCCCACAACATCCGAATGGTACTGACCAAAGTCCCAGCTACTCTGTTTCTCTTCCAGCTCTCCGCTAATGCATCTGTTTGTGTCTCCGTACCCCATGGGGGAGACCTGGAAGAAGCACTTGGGTCCTGTGTCTGGCCTGAATGAACCAGCATACGGATGATCTCTTTCTCCCCTCATCCCTCTCTCTGTGTCTCTGTAATTGTACCTCCCAAATTTTAAAAAAAGAAAACAGAAAGAATAAATCAGAAAACCACAGGTACAAAGCCACAGTGTGCTATTAAAGTCATATGTGTTAAACTCATCTGTGCATCCAGTTAACATACTTCATTAGGAAGCTTGTCTGAATTTTCTTTGATTTTTTTGTAGTTGTTTTAGCAAAAATGCTTAGGTGCTTAGGAAACAAAGTGCCTGATATTTACCTTCTGTAAGTATTAATTATAAGCTATTGAAGTTTTGTCCTAACTTTGTAAGGTAACAAATTGCCTGTATATCAAATCGCTAAGATCTGTAAAAGGTAAAATCACACATGTAGTATAACCATGTATAGTGCATTATGCCTCAAAAGGTCAAAGGAATATACATAGGGAATTATCGTATAAATGACCTATAATTTCAGAAAAATAGTAATGATGGGTATTTTCTGATTCATAAGCATACATTTGCACACTAAAAGAGGCATAGCTTTAAAAACTTGCATATTATTACATAAATGTGTGCCTTTGAATACATCATGTTATGTTTTGATGTATCTGATGTTTGGCAGAAATTATGCAAAATGACCTTAACTCACTAGCTATCTTTGCAGGAGCCACTGAAAGGATAATGAAAAAATATTAATACATTTGTAATGATTTTTAAAAATATTCTCACATAGTCACAAATATGCCATAAAATTATTTTATTAATATCAGTAAGAAAAAAAGCCAGAAGTTCATATGTAAATTTGAAAATAAGAAAAATATAGGATGGCATACTATAATTTGTTATACAAAATTCTGCATATAACCTATAAATATATATCTTGAGCTTTTTGGAATATCTAGGCTGAAAAAAAAATGATTGCAGAAAGCGCAAATAAGCAAGATGTAAAGGAGGTAGTTTGGAGATGAGCAAACAGAAACATGATGTTAGATGTATGAAAATACTTCCAAAAGTTTGTGGAAAATGTAACTAAAAGATAAATTTGGCTTGGCCCAAATTTTTTAAATTCTTGTTATTATAATCTTTTCCCATGAACTTTCTGAAGACTTCCTCCACCCCATAGAATTTAACTTACTTCATTCTCTGAGATTTGTTGCAAGAACTCTTTATTAGCCTCAGCTTTTGGAATTAGGATGACACCTTAGCAAAATTCCTCTACTGCACCAGCCTATTTAACTGTAATTATGAATGTTTCATGGATTCACATGTGAAAATTAACAAAAAAAAAACCTTATCTAGATAATTCAAGAATCTATACATGCCTCTGCTATTAAATCATAAATGCTTCTACAAGAATGGATTAATATCCATAACTACACAATCCTAAAGACTGGAAGTGGAAAATCAAGGAATTAGGGCCATCTGCCTGTTTCATAGTTACTAATAAACACACATTAAAACAGCTATGTGGAAGCTTATATTGTAGCTAATAAACAATATATCTATTGAGTGATGCCTACATGCATTTGCAGATGACTTTCTAAGCGAATAGCCCACGTTTAGGTCTATGTTCACCCTGAAGTCACCCTTTCCACCCTGGTCTGCCTGTTAGGCTGCAGAAAATGTGGGCACTCACCAGGACAAAGAAGTACCCATATAGTGCTGCAGAATGGTGAATTACGAAAAACTTGTCACCAATGATTTTCCAATAAAAAATGATGAGCAACAAATCTGTAAGAAGGAAACATAAGAACCACATTACACACAGTAAGAAAGAAGAATTTACCTTTCTCTTGACAATCCGTCACAATCCAGTCTGAGGCTAAAGCATTTGCTTCATCCTTCAGCTAGTCTGATGGCTCACTTCATCTTAAACACGTGACAATTCCTTTGCCATGGCTTCTCCAGGACCACGGCCAAGTTCAGGGTACTTTTCTACCTTCAGAATCTACTACAGGCCCCGGCATTTGATATGTAACCTAATATTGGCTGTGAGCTTAGATAACTTGTTTCCAGGATTAAATATAATGAAAATAGTACCGAATAAGATTTAAAATAAACTACTGCTTTTTCCCGCAACAACACTTCAAACAAAGATGATTGTATAAAGGGTACAAAATGATCAGTACATTGTTGACATCAATACAATAAAATTTAATTTATAATATTTAATTAAAATATTAATTCAAAACAGTAAAACCACCAAGAAATAGGACTATTAAAAGACACAAACAAAGGTCAAGGCATCAATTTTCTTTCAAAGGCTCTGAATCCAAACACCATGACTCAGAATTGGTGGTGTTTTTAGATATTTTGGGTTATGTGAGTGGTGTGAGTGTTATTGGTGTTTATGGTTGATAAGGTTTTTATAGATGGGGATGGTGTGTATACTGGTGTTGTTGAAGGGGTGTGGATGTGGGTTTTTATTGGTGGTCGGAATTGGGATTTAGTTGGTTAGTTGTATTTAGTGGATTTTGATGTTGGGTGATTTGGTATAAGAGGTATTTGTTTTTTTATAATAATTATGGTGTTTGAGGAGGTGTGTTGGGGGTTGGTTGTAGTGTTGGTTAGAAGGGGGTTTAAGAGAGGTTGTCTTATTGGGAAGGTATTAGAGGGGTGGATAAAAATGGGATAATTGGAAAGGTGATTGTGTGTTGTTGTATGTTTGGATCGGTAATGGATGTGGGTGGTGTTTTTGGGTGGATGGAGATGTTAGAGGGGGGGTTAGGGGTGGTGTAGGTGTGAGTGGGGTTTTTGGGTTAATGGTGGGAGGGGGAGTGTGGTTAGTTAGAAGGTTATTGGTAGGGGGAGAGGTTATGTATTTTGGATTATGAATATGGGGTGGTGGAGTGTTGGGTGAGAGTGAAAGGGGGGATAGGTATGTATTTGGATTTGGTGATTGATAGTTGGGTGGATATTGAATAAGGAGGTATGGGGGAAGATTTGTTGAATTGGTGTGGATGTGTGGGATATCCGGAATTTATCTCTTCCTCTTAATGAGTCGTTCTGTGTTGGTAAAACATATTTTTTCCTATTTCTACAACGCACTTCTGTAAACAGAAATTTTTCTACTGAGTTAACTGCCTATCTTTATAGCTTTTGTTTCACATTTTATCACTTTTACTTGGATTTTTTTCTTTCATTTAATAAACTTAAAGATACAAGATGTGGTTTCCTATGTAAATGTACACATCCAGAATGGGTTCTCTTCTTTTATTAAGATGATCCAAAATTTCTTTTCCCATTGCAGTTAATGTGGTAAAGGCCTTAGCTTTCCTTTTACTTCAATAAAAGGTGTGGGAGAGGGAGGAGGCTACTCCAATTCCCTTCATCATGTAAAATGGAAGGAGTATGTAAGAAAGAATCTGTGACTTTTGCTTAGCTTTTGCAACTTGGATCAAAATTACACAAATCTTTATCAAGTGGAACAAGCTTTCTAAATGAGAAATACTAAGACCTCAACTGCATAGCTTCACAACAGCTCCATTTGAGATTCTTTAGGTCAAAGTGAAACTACTAATCATTAATCTTTAATAATCATTAGTAAATGTTGGGGCTGACATTGTGGTACAGCTGGTTAAGCTGCCACCTATGATACTGGCATTCAAAATAAGGACTGGGTCAATTTCTGCCTTCTTTGCTTCAAATCCAGCTCCCTGTTATTGTGGTGGGAAAATAATCTGGGGAGAGGCCTGGGCTTCTGCTGTCCAACTGGGAGACCTGGATGGTGTTTCAGGCTGCTGTCTTTGGTCTGGCCCAGCATTAGCCATTGCAGCTACTTGGAAAATAGACCAACAAAGGGAAGAATCTCCCTCTCTTTTTCTCTGTCAAGCTGTCTTTCAAATTACTAAAATAAGTTTGAGAAAACAAAATGCTGAGGGTGGCACTGCGGCGTAGTGAGTTAGACCACTGCCTGCAGCTCCAAAATCCCATATGGGCATGGGTTTGAAACCCAGTTCTTCCACTTCTGATCCAGCTCCTGCTAATGCACCTGCAAAAGCAGCATGGGATGGCCCAGGTGCTTGGGACCCTACAACCACATGGCAGACACAGATGAAACTGCTGTCTTCTAGCTTCAGTCCCTAGTCCCCTTTGTTGTGGCCATCTGGGGAGTGATCTAAAGGAGGAAGATTCCTCTTTCTCACTCTCGCTCTGTGTGTGTGTGTGTGTGTGTGTGTGTGTGTGTGTGTGTGTGTGTGTGTATGTGTGTCTGTGTCTGTGTAGCTTTGCCTTTCAGGAAAATGAATCTTTTAAAAAAATATTTGTGCCTCGGTTGTTTGAAGATCCACTTTGCAATTCTGATCTTTAGTAAGAACTAGAATGGCAACAAGAATATGTTTGATGGTCTAATTTTTCCCTCTATAGTGTTGCTAAAATTTCTTTCAAATAAACAAACCCAAAGCAGTGCCTATGTATTCTTTGCATAATTTTATGAGTATTGTGGAAAAAATAGACATGAATAACATACCAGACATGAGGTAGCCTGAAGCAATAGCAAGATTCACGGTCACAAGGGATGAATCGCCCCTACAAATATTAAAAAAAAAAAATCCTCTTTTTAAGCACATGGCTTATAGAAGACAAATGCTTTTTTTCTTGAGATTTAAGTACGAAGAAAATGTTTTCTATAAACTCTGGAATGATATGCTATCATGTTGAAATTCAGACCACAAACAATAACAATGTAACAGATCTATATCCTGCGGGACTGGTACTAGCCCGCATAGGCTCTCCATAAAAGCACCTGTACCAACAGCCCAACCCCTAACCCAAAGAAACCTAGTCAGCTTCCCGTCCACAATGACTTTGCTGTATCAAGAGATCTTTGGCAGCTCCTTCTTTCCATGACGCTTACTTGAGATCCAAGCCAGCTTCCATAATGAACTTGAGGAAAAATGATCAACTCTTGGAATCTCAATGAGGTGGAAATCCCCCGCAGCACCTAAAGCCAACCCATGTGGACCTCCCAAGCATTAGGGACAGACCTTCATGGGCAGGCTAAACCTAACACTGCAGATCTCTTCCCCACATCTCCAAACTCAGGGGCCTCCTAGGGTTTACTTTGCTTCATACTGAGAAATCTCCCACACACAAGTGGCATTTACAATGGGCTTGGAAGATACCCAAGGGCCCAGCACAGTTGCTGTGCCAATGCAATCACATCACCTTAGGAAGGCCATACTCTCCAGTGCTGCAACTTGTGCTAAGCCTGTCAATGCACAAAGTATTATGCTGGTTATGAGAATGCTTCTGGCTGCATGAACAACCATAGTTTCTTATACATACCAGCTCAAACTTTTACTTTTGATGGTTTTGCCAAAAGATAGCAAGAATTGTAAACATCTATTCCCACACTCACATTCATCTGCCAAAGAACTCTAATGGAACTCCAGATGCTGGTTGGTTGTGGTTGCGGTTGATGAAGCTTTATTCTGAATCAGAGGCTCAACTATCTGATCTAGCCCACCTTTGGTTTTAAGTATAAATTGAACATCCTTTCTAGGAAATGTTTGGAAATAGAAGTGATATAGACATAGGCTTTTGCTTTTTCAGATCTTGAAATATTTGTATTTATGAAATTTTGGCATTAAGACCTAAGTCTCAAAGAAAAAGCATTTCTGTTTCCTTTATATCTTGCATCTACAGCTTGTGTTTTATAAAGTATTTTAAATAATTTGGTGGCTAAGACCAAAAAACCAAGTTTCATGGTATGGAATTTTCCATTTGTAGCATTAAGTCAACATTCAAACAAACTGGACTCTGTTTTGTCACGTACTGAGAACTAAAGGAATTTGCCCATTATTACACAATTAGGAAATACCCAGAGCAGTTTCACTCTGTTTTGACCCCTTCACGTATCATGAGCCTAGACTGTTGCCCTGTTAGTGCTCTTTGCTCCAAAGAACAAACTCACATGATCAGTCTTATATCTGATTCATAAGGTGAACAAATTGTGACATTAACACAAAATGAAACTAGTTATAGCTAAACTGCAAACGGAAAGATGCACAAATTCTGATCTGCAGATAATGACCAAGAAAATTGATGTAGAATAAATCATGGTAGAAAAAGAAATGAAAAATACTAAAAACCATGTTTTCTTAAGTTCGATGCAACAACAACTGACCAGTGAATTAATTCTTTGTCCTAAAATTTGCTTCCCCAAAGAACTGGTGCTGTTGCAAATTATATTAATAAAATTTTTAAAATGAAGTTTTTGCAAAAGAAAAGCTAAAAATTATTTAGGTAGACAATACAAAAAATCTAGTAAAAGAATTCAATTTCCTAAATTGATCCACCTTTGAAAAGTTTTCCCAATGGGATGCATCAATACCAGTATAAGTCTATTGGAAATGTGTACTGTTAATGTAATAAAAATAATATCCTTACAATCAAATGGTGGTAGTCAAAAGCCATGGTTACATTTCCTCACCCACCTCACTCCCACCACAGCTTAGAACTACATCATCATCATCCCAACGCAGTGCTTTCTCAAAACACACCTTTTCTCAAGCTAAGCTGAACTAAGCTTTCTCATATGATGCCAGGAAATACAACTTGCAACATTTCTGCCACTGTAATGACATTTCAGTTTTTCAGAAAAGAATCATATTACAAATTGTCATTATTACTGCCAGATATAGCCGCTATTAGTGCTTCAAATATTCATGGCCATCTATAATTCTCATTTTATCTCTGTGATGTCAAACCATGGGTCAACTGTAAGCTTGAAAACAAAATATCTACTTAAGTACATGTTGTCCCAGTTGACTATTTCATTTTTGCTCATAACAGCAGTTACAATATCTAAGGCTGTATAAATGCTATGTCATCATACCCTCCTTGTTGTGGAAAACAATTACAGTTCTAAGGCAAAATGGTCATTACTATTTATATTAAAACCTAAAATAAATCATTTTAGTGTACTTGGCTAATATAAATCTGAACATAAGCATTTGTATGCATCACAAATGTATTTCCTATTTCAAAGTAAAGTGATGTTCTCATTAATAATTAACAGCAAAACATAAGTCAAATTGACCAGCTTAGAAACAGCTTACCAGAGTGGATCAGCCTGGCTAGCCTCATCGAATAGGAAAATGTACAGGCCCAAAATCCCAACCACCAAAGAATGGCATGTAGATACTACCCTAAAATAAAACAAAATACACATACAGATATTAGAGTTTCTGTGATAGGCTGTAACTCATTCTTGCAAAAAAAATTATAGTTTAAAACATTTTAAAAAAGAAGTAGAATATATCTAAGAATGTAATACAAATTTGCTATTTAGAAACCCAAGGGTCACAAATTTACTTTTTTAATGACTAATATGGAAGATGTCAAAGTCTATAGACTCCTGCTAGAGAACTGGTAGAACAGTTGGTGAAAAGTTCTAAAGCAGCAGGACACAGGAAGCAGGGGAGCGCTCTGGGCAGAGAGCTGGTAGCTGCAAGGCCCCCACTCTGCATTCTGTTCTGGCTCACTGCATCACTGCTGGGTTCCCTGCTCCAGTCAGCTGCGAACAATGTTCAAATCGACCAGCCTTATCAAACTCTAGCCTTCAGACAATCAGCGATGACCAGAGTATGATTACCTAATATACTTAAGTTTTGAAGACACACCCGTATGCATTACTGCACTCGATACTCATAACATTTGTGACATGGGTAACCGTGACTAGTTTATCACTCTTAAATAAGCAGTTCCAAACAGAAAAAAAAAATTAAAGACTACGCATTTATACAGAAGTTTTGATTTTCAAGGAAACACTCTAGTGAAAACTAACTGGTTACAAGACACATGTTAACTTTCTTCTATAGAAAGAACAAAGTTTGGAAGAAAAAACAGCAATTTCTCTAAACATGCCTACCTAACATGCCTTGGCCAATATCCAAGCTGTATGATGTGCCACAAAAAGAAACACACACAGGCGGGTGTTGGCTCTCACTATGAGGACACCCACATGCCACATCAGAGTAGCTGGATTTGACAGAGCTCTGATTCTTGACTCACTTGTCTGCTAAAGCAAACTGGAAGGCAGTTTTGACTGTTTCAGCTACCCATGCATTGGGGCTCAGAGTGAGCTCCTGGTTCCAAGCTGCAGACTGACCCAGGCTTTTGGGGGAGAAAATCTGCAGGTGCGAGGGCTCTTATGGCATGTGCTCTCTGTCTCCCGCTCCCTTCTCACACAGATGCACACATTTTAAAATAAAAAACTATCCAATATATTTAGCAACACAACAACGTTTTTTATCCTAACAATAAAACCCAAAAGTTTTGGATTTCTAACAGCTTTATTTAGAAGTTTTCAAGTTACAAAGTCTTCTTGCTCCCTTAATTAGAATAAATAATAGTATTCTCTCTAGAAATTATTGGTGTTTGATGAATTTTTGATATGATCCCAACTCTTTAAAAATAATTGAAATATACCAATCAACATCAATCTTGATAGACATTTTCACTGTAACATGAAAAGTCAACATGCTTAACCTAATAAGTGATGTGTTTCTACATAGATAAAATGTGACAAATCATATTGTAAGTGTACAAAGATTCTCAGTGATTAAAAGGCATTGACAAAGAATTCTTTGTAATACAAAAGGACCATTTTGAGGTATAAATAATTCACTCAATGTATATGATTTAAATGTCTGGTAATTTCATACCAAGCTTACCTGTATTCCAATTGAGGATAGCAGGTTAAAAACATAAATAGCTTGATATGATACAAAACACTATGTCTTAATCATGCATACAGATTTCTGCTGTCAGCCAAAAAATTTTATAGAAAGAAAAGATGTAACCTCTTCAACCAACCTGTTTTAGTTGGTTTTCAGCCACAAAGTATAAATTTCCCTGTGGAAAAATATAATTATCTCTGATACTCACACCTCAAAGTGCCTTCTCTGTTGGGATCTTAAAGAGTATATCGGAAAGATTCTAAGCCCTCAGCTGACAGAAATGGTATTGACTTACAGATAAGTTTGATGTTACTATGCCCAGGCCATCAGCTCCCTTTATAATGAGTAGAAAAAGGAAACATCCTATATTCATACATTTAATGCATAGTTTCAAAAGCCTGTTAGTAAATATGCTCTATTATTTGAAAATCAGACTCCTGGCAAAGCAAAATGCAAATTCTTTAATATGAAAAGGAAACATCAAAATGCTACCAAATGGGTAGGTATCATATGTAATAGGTTAAACCACTACTGGAAATGTCCACATACTATATTGAATGTCAGTTTCTATCCCAGTTAGCCCACCTCTAACCCAGCTCCCTAATGCCCTAGAAAGCAGCGATTATGGTACAAATACTTGAGTCCCTGCCAACCAAGTGGGAATCCAGGTGGAGTTCCTGGCAGCCTAGTCAAGACCTGGCTATTGTAGATATCTGGGAGTGAACCAGTGAATGGGAGATCTCTTTCTCTAGCATTCTATCTTTGGAACAAACCTTTTCTAAAAAGCTACAAAAATAGTTCAACATTTATCAAATGGCTTAAAAATAAATGCTCGTGTATATGAAAAGATGATATTAAGAAAATTATAAGCATTTAGGAAGGCTACTGATTTAATCACTCCTAAGTTGCGAATATTGTCCAAAGAGAGTTAAATTTTGGAGAAATTACCTTAACAAATTAGGAATACTTCAGTATTGTTGGGACTTCCTATGCCATTATTAAACATCTGGTGTTTTTAATTATATGCAAACAATACCTATATCTGTGTTGTCACAATAAGCAACAATTAAGTAAAAATTTTTACTTATAAATAAACTTATATCTCACATGTGTATTTTCCAATATTTTTTTCTCCTGATGTTTCCCCAGGTGGCTTGGACCAAGCACTGTCAGAGACCATTTCCTGGTTTTTAGGAAGAACCATGAGTGTTGTATTGATTTGCATGTTTGCTGGAAGCCACACTTGAAGAAGTGCATACACATCCAAAAAAACAGCCTGATGCTTTCCTTTCTTCATACTCTCCACCTCAAAGCTTAAGTCATGTGTGAACTGAGTGAGGTCAAAAGTAAATTCCAGAGACAAAGACAGTGCCATCCGAATAACAGAGTGACTCTTACACTCTTAGTCCTTTTCCAAATAGATATCTGCTTGGGGAGTGAACCCCAGGATGGAAGATCTTGACATCTCATTGTCTTTCTTCTCTCTCTCTCTCTGTCTCTCTCTCACACACACATGCTCAATCTCTCTATCTTCCAGTCCTGGTTCCTCTTTCTGTCACTCTTTCAACTGAATAAACAGATCTACCTTTTTTTAATGATTATGTTCAAATAAGACACTGTCAGAAGTTCTTGGATTTTAAAAGATTTTAATTTAGAAAAACACATGCCATTTCAAATTCTTCCTGAATGTACTTCACAGCTAGCATTAGTTTCGACTAACAACAAAGAAGTACTCATCATGGCTGCTGTAATGCTTAGCACATGAAAGGTTCTAGAGCAAGTGTAGCAGTCATCAGTGTCACTTTGTGTCTCAAATCGTGGGAGAATAACAAACACACACAAAAAATCCTGCACCAATTTACAGCCAATTTCTATACCTGGAGAGAAGTAATTTTTTCACACTCATTTTTTGTTACAAAAAAAAAAAATCTAAAGAGCAACATTTGCTTTGGAATTACATAACAAATGCATCCATTCTGCAGGGCTCTTAATTATAGCGGACATACATGTGCTGCCTGTATACTAGGATCTCTGGTAAACCAAACTGCCAATCCTACACATAAATTACACAAGCCCAGCAAAGCTTTTCTTCACATCATTTGCAAAGCATATATTTTTATCAGAAATATTTCAGAGAAGAATGCAAAATAGTGCTCTTCCACAGTCAGCCAGGGTCTATTTAATTTTCTACACTTTCACAGAAAGATACATTTTTTCTCAGAGTCTTTTAATAGCAGGATTCTTAAAATGTTCCTGTACGAGATCTACCTACTTGTATTGCCTTTCATTCCTAAGGTCAAATGAAATGTGTGATCTTGAATTTCATTAAGTCAAAATGAAAGACTTTTTAAAAAATCATTCTAAGGTAATTTTACATCATTACAAGTTTTTCTCAAACTAGTCAATTACATGTTCATACACTTTACCTTGAGTTCCATTCAATCTTCTTTTCAAAGCTGAGACTATTAAAACCCGAGGAAATTTTTGCTGAAAACCAATAGCTTACAAAGTGGAAAAGAAGCTGGAAGGTGAAGAAGCTGGTACAAAAAATACTGATGATCTGTTTGTGCCTGGAATCCATATTTCTTCAACCTGTTAAAAAGAAATACTGACTAAATTTCACATACCATTTTATTACATAACACTTTAATATTGAAGATTATGTACTTATACTTTTAGTAACTTTTAATTCGGCACAAATTTAAGAATACAAAAAAACTACAATTTTTAAGCCTTTTGTATGTTTCTTTAACATCTATTTGCATGTGTTTCCTTTTGTACTTAAAAGGATAAACCTATTTAAAGATTTCCATAAATTTCAAGTTTTTTAACAGTATGGTATTCAAAGCTATTTTACTGTTGAGAAATTTTAAGTCCTAAACCAAAGTATGCTCTCAAAATATTTCAATTTTATTTAAGATAAATCACCCGATTTCTCTATGCCTCAAATCCCTCACTGTAAATTGCTTTAATAATTTCTAAGAAACACAGCCAAAAATTAGAGCAAAACATTGCCTGGAATCACAAAACAAAAAGTTACACAACAAAAACTAACTTTTATAGACACAGGAAACAACTTAAAATTTAAAACAGAATCAGCGGTTAGCACTGTGGTGTAGCAAGAAAAACCACCAGCTGTAATGCCAACATCCCCATTTGGGGCACTAGCTCATGTCAAGATGCTCCATTTGCAGTCCAGCTCCCTGTTGGTGCACCTGGGAAAGCAGCAGACAATGGCTCATTGCTTGTGTCCCTATTCTCACCTGGGAGCCCCAGCTACAGCTCCTGACTCCTGCCTGTCCCCTGTCCCTGGGCCAGTCACAGGCTGTTATAGCCATTTGGGAGTGAATGATCTCTCTGTCTTTCCTCTCTCTGTAACTCTTTCAAATAAATAAATAAAATTTTGTTTTTTAAAGATTTTATTGTTATTGAAAAGTCAAGTTTTACAGAGAGAGGAGAAACAGAGAGAAAGATCTTCCATGCGCTGGTTTACTCCCCAAGTGACCAAAACAACCAGAGCTAAGCTGATCTGAAGCCAGGAGTCAGGAGCTTTTTCCAGGTGTCCCACCCACACAGGTGCAGAGTCCCAAGGTCTTGGGCCAGCCTCTGCTGCTCTCCCAGATCAGAAGCAGGGAGCTGGAAGGGAAGTGGAACAGCCGGGATACGAAGCAGCCCTGATAGGGGATCCCAGCTTTTGCAAGGCGAGGACTTTAGCCACCAGGCTACCGTGCAGGACCCTAAATAAAAAATTTTAAGATAACTTTTATTAATTTAAGAAAATTTAAGGTGGCAGAATGATAACAGTCTTACAAAAGAGCCATATCACTGATATCACTTAAATCAAAATTTAACTTAAAAATAAAAATAGTCATCAATTAAACCTATCCTTGTAGCACAAAGTCTTCATGGCTGTGAATCTCATGAAGGAAAAAAAGAAGATGATGGATCTGGAAAAAAAAATTGGTTTTTATAATAGAGCCTCCAGTGTTAAGGACAGAGTTAGAAGATTGAACAATAACATGCTTACACTTACTGTGCATAATGACATGCACACGCACACTTAAAGATGTCTTCTGTCTCACTGGGCTCCTAAAAATCTTCATAAAACGCAGACCACATAAAGACACTAAAACATCTGTTTGCATCCAGCAAAGACAGCCTTTCTATGGCTTCAACTTTGCTATAGTTGATCCTCAGATGAAAAGAAAATGAATCAATACCCATTTCCAGATGCCTACCAGAAAGAGATAAAGTCACCTATAAAGGCAATCTCCTAGAGAAAAGCCAAGTCATTACTGCCCAGGAATAACCCCACTCACCCCCAGCCAGGAAATCCTAACAAGAATTGGCCTCCCACCAAGCCCCTTCTAACAGAATTCCTTGTAATGAATTCTTTCTTCATTTGTTCCTTTTTGTAGTGTATGTGCTTGGTAAAAACTATTAATGTTGCAATTCTTATCTGTGAGAGTCCATGAACTTTATTTCCTTTAAAAAAATATTTATTTACTGAGTATTGGAAAAAGTGTTAATTTGTGTCCTTTTAGTCTAGGTTTAATAATAACCAAACATTATATAAAACTCTGTTTTGGACACAGCTTCATTATAATTCACTAAATGAGATGTAAAGGGGAAGATGTTTTTTGCAAGATGAAAGCAAATAGGGCTCTGAAGGCCAGGTGGACAGATCATTGAACATGGATAGAGGGAAGGCATGGAAAGCAGCAAAAAGCCGACCCTTGGTGTGAAGACAGCTGGTCCTGTGAGCCTGATACTTCTCCCTGCCAGTCCAGAGCAGGGCCCCAGCACCGGTTCTGCTTAAAAGTCAGTATCAACAATCAGCAATTCTGTCCTGAATCTTTGTTGAAAAGTAACATAAAACTTATTTGTGTCATATCATCTAATTGATGAATCATTAATATATCAAAAAGCACTCAGTTCTTTCATCAAGAAACTTATTACTGAAAAAATTCAGGATTTGTTAGACTGAATGGACATTTAATATTTTCAACAGGCTTGTTCTCAGTTTTGTCTTTGGGGTGGATGTTGAAAATTCTCCCTTTGCTAAAACGATCCATTCAAAACGAAATAAAGGCCTCCATATAGTCATGCTGTGGTTTCTATTAAAGAATCGAGAGAGACAGAAGCTAATTAAACTGTTCTGCTCCCAGCTTTTGCTTCTTAATAAGCAGCTGCTTGCTTAATCAGTCACGCCAAATCCAGGACCTGATCTACAGATTTTTTTTTTCCCAGAAACTTCCCCCAGAAAACCAAGCCTTCCGATTTAAATCAACTGTCCCAGTTCACTTCAGGTGCTTGAATCAGGACATAAAATGGTACCCATGGGTAAAACCAAATGGTGTTTATTGCTAACACTGACAAAGGCCCTGGAGAGTTTGGGTATGATTAAGTATTGTGATACCAAGTACAAGTGGAAAATCATTAGACCCACTTCATGCGCCCCCATGTACACGGGGGGCTAGTAGCTGATAGAAGGCTAGAATGCTAGTTGTCCTGTAGTGGGGAGTGAGGGGTGGAAAGCAGCTGAATAGTTCTGGGAAAATCGACAAGTATCCAGACATGAAGTCTACAATATAATTAGTCCATGTGAATTCACAGGAATTGTAGACCCAAAAGAAACTCTTCTAGAAACCTGCTGAATTCAATAATCTCTTTGATTTCCCCAACATGGTTTATATAACTGGGAGCTGAAGTTCATTTCTCAGTAGGGAAGAAAATGAAAAGCTCTCAAGTGCTCCTCTCCAGCACCAGCTGTGAAAGCCCATCTCTCCTGGCAGACCTCACAGATGTAGGGCACTGGAAATGGCAGGGCCAGGGCTGATTCAGCCTTCACTGCACCAAGAGTTAAGCCAATATCTGTCATTTGCCTACCTTGTGCCACGCACTAACCTGACTCTCACAATACAAACACAGAAGCACACTTACAGTAAGAGAAGCCAGGAAAGCAGTCCTCACCACCTAGAGTGGGACAGTCAGGGTGCTGAAGGGACACTCCTGCTTCCCAAGGGGGTAAACAACCAGCAGAGAAAACACATCAACCATTAGGGGCCTCCAAAGGTTTTCAAGGTGAATCAAGAAGCTACCACTTGCACCAAAACCCCAACAAGACCCTTTTGAGGCTAAAGGCCCAAAGATTCAGTTCCATCAGCAAATTCCTTCCCTCTCATGATGATCACTGTCATTTCTCCCTGTTCTTTATTCCTTTGGAAGGACAGGGATTCCTTAGGGGATATGTTGGAATCATCAGCACAACCCATGAGTACAACCCATTCCTTCACATTGTGAAAGGACTGGTAAGAATCACACTGCAGTGGTTAGGAGGGAAAACCCTAAAGACAGGGTGAGAAAGGGCTTTAAGAGCAGCAAGAAAGTAGGAAGTAGGAAGCTGGAAGGACACCCCACTCTCCCTCAGCATTCCCTTTTCTACCCATTTCTTACTTCCTACCTTGATTCCAATTAGTCCCTGCTTTCAGATCTCCATGTTCTCATCTTGTAACAGAAGAGGCTTTTCCCATTTCACCAACAAAATCCAGGTCATCAGGCACGCCTCACCTTGGCAATGCTTACTAGCTCTCCCACTGTCACATCCTCCCTGCACCCTATAGCTTCAACACTGCTCATGGCCTTGGCAACTATATCCACTCCCCTTGGCATACCAGTCCTGGATGAGCAGTAACCTCTCAATGACTCCGTGTGGGCATCCTGGAGGCTCTGCACGCTGTGCCTGGTCCAAGCGGAGCTTAACCCCAAAGTTCTTCCTTTGTGCTTCTCTGTCTCAGCAAATGACACCGCCAAATTCAACATCTCCCCATATTCCAACTTAAAACACTCCTGCCATCATTGACATCTTCCTCACTTGGGGAGTGAATCATCGGACCGAAGATCTTCCTCTCTGTATCTCCTCCTCTCTGTATATCTAACTTTGTAATAAAAATAAAATAAAATCTTAAAAAAAAAAAGACATCTTCCTGCACCTCCCTCCCACAAATACCTGGTTGATAAGCTATGGGAGATTAGCGAGTACCAAACAAAAGGCCATCTGACTCCAGCAAAAGCCTGAAAGTGTTTCATGGTAGCCCCGGAACTCTACAGGAAAGATGTGGCTAGATAACATGACCAGATAATCCAGTGCAGGTTGAAAAGTCAACGTGAGATCTGCCTCTGGGGTTTTTATAAGCTTTTCTTTCCTTATTCCTGTTTCTGTAAATATTTACATGTTTAATAATTAGTCTGTATATCACACAAGCTGGTAAAAACTAGTTAATATATTGAACTGAATATTTGAAAATTATTCTCATTAGAAGAAACAATGAGTCCCAGTCACAAAAGCAAATAACAACACAGGATAGGGAGAAACTTTAAAAGGCAATCACCAATTATGGGATTCAGTATCACATGCACAGAAAAACCTTAGAATTGTTCAGTGACACAAATCAGCAACACACAAAAATATAATGAAGATAGTGAACACATACCAAAACTTAAGGAAAAAAAAGGTTTTTTATAACCAGATAGGGTGGAAGCAAACTGTTGCATCAAGATAAATGATCAGTCCCATTGTACTCTAAATTAAT